GCTGTTGTAACCTAGAATAGTCAAAAAATGAATGGTTATAGGTTAGAAGTTTAACGGAATCCAATCACACTTGTTTAGAATCCTACCACTATAAAACAAAGTAGAAAAGATAACAAGTTACAAGATTCTTTCTCTTAATACTATTTTAGGTGAAGCACAATCACAGCGGGGTTGAAATTTTAAGTATGTCTACTCAAACCCTCATAATACAAGGTATTCTTGTCTTAATGAATAAAAAAAGTTTTCATATTTCTTCCTGGGGAAACACTTCAAGCAGACCAAAGGGAAAAAAAACCTTTTCTACTTTCCCATCTATACCTCCTAGAAATTCTAGGATTACATTGTAACTTAAAAACTGATAACCCTGGCTGCATCCTTAAGTTTGATTTTATGAAACCCAGGTATCCAATGTTTATTAAGGGAAGATGTGGCAGAGTAAGGAAAGGCTCCATGCAATCCTGTACTAGAAAACATTAAAGCAGACGCCTAATCTAATCGCTAAAGCAGAAAATCAGATAAACTGCAGGCTACAGCTAATTTGAATTCCTATTGGAGTATTGTACTCTGAAATTAATGCAACTCTCAAATCATTGTGCCATAATTGTAGATGCCAAAGTAAATTTGATGGTGATATTTGATTTGAAATATTAAATAAAATGCAGGCAGCTTTTTCAAAACTTTGATGTACTACATCGATGAGTTTTTCAAGAGTCAATGCTTATTTTTCCTATTGAAGCTGAATTCATACCTCCAAGTTATTGACTTGTCATTTCAGAATTAAGCGATAGCTTCTACAAACGGCCAACACGGACCAATAATTGCAAATAGGCATAATCTTAAGAGGCAGTAAGTGAAAGCAGAATGGTGCAAATCATTCCTTTTTTTAAAATTTAGAATTTCTTTCCCATTCTCGCCTTCCTTCCTTCAAACCCTGCTAATTTTCAACTAGTAAAGCTGCAAATAGTTGTTGCTTCGTAAGGCGGGACCTTGGAATTCACAGTATTAAATTCATAGACTTTGTTCTGGCTATGCAAATAATATGCTTAGTTATAAGAGAATGTGGTGGTGCTTGTATTTCTGGGGAGTATCAACAGCTTCTTTATCCCAACAGCTACTCACTCATACACTGTCATGTACAATATGCGGCTTGATATGATGCTAGCTGGCTGGCAAAAATAAGAGGTGGCCTTCAATTGCTAGATCTTTCTTAGTGACTCTCATATTAAACACATTCTATAATGGCACAATCATATAACTATACACAGGGACACTTTCTAAAAAAAGAAAAACCCTACATGTTCTCAGTAGTGCAAGTGGTTCCAATTGGTGCAATTGATGCAATTTCTTCAATGTTAATTATGAGTCATTAGTATTAACAATGAAGCACTTACAGTACTGAATGCCATTTCAGATGAGATGCCCAGATAATCAGGAATTCTGGTCCCACATAGCCTAACCAGTTGTTTGTGAGAAAGCATTAGGCAGCATGTGAATGCAACTGCTCCCTTCCGCTTGTATTCTCTAGCCAACAGTACGGATAAGCATTTTGACATTACAGTACTTTACAGCCATTTTGACCAGTAGCTATGATAGGTTTACACTATCTCACATGACTTTGTCTTTTAAAACTGTCTGAGGTCATAGCTCTTATATCTTCTGTTAATTAATCATATAACTTTACAATAAGATTATACGAAGAAGCATTTCTTTGGATCAATTCTGAATTTTCCGCCTTCAGTTTAATTCTAATATTTAAGACTCGTGCCTGCCCAAATTGCATATGTCTTTATGAGATTTCCCCCTTATTGTTTTCATCATCCAAAAATGTCTTGAATGGTCTGACTTCCCCTATTCCAAGAATGGCTGTAGTATAGATTTTTATAAAAGAATTGTGATATTGCAGTTTTATTTTGAACTTGTCCTGATTTCCAATATCAAAGCAGAGCAACAACACGGAAAACTAAGTCTTATCAAGCTATTTACCACAATCCTTATGCTGTATGTTCATTATTACTCCTAATGCATACCTTAAGGAATCATAAGACTGACTATCCAGCTTTATTCTGGTGGAAAATTGTTACTTCTAGATTGTTTAAAATTATAGCCGCAGAGGACCATCTGCAATACTGGAAAGCAAAACTTTTAAAACATAGGCCACAATCTTAAATGAGCTTACCTGGGAATAAATGGATAGTATGAATTTATTTCTTGTCATATTTATTGCATTGTTGTCTTAGGCGCTCATGGTAGTGCCTTTAACACCTTGCTCTTTTTCCCCCATAATCAACCAGTAAAACAGATTCGGCTGATATGTATACGACTGAACTATATATGACTTCGCTATTATAGATTTTGAATTGGGAGTTTATGCCAATTTATTAATATCATTAATGACTAAAGGCTTTTTTATACATACAGTATATGAAAAAAATATTGAGGAGAGGTGTGGAAATCTGACAGATATACTGAAAAATCTTATCACTCATATAATACATGTCATTTATTGAAAAGCGCTAGGTAAATATTAATAAAATTAGAAGTTTCTCTCTGGTTATTCTAAATAATCTATAGCAGATTATTGTTTCCATTGATTTTGGAAAAAAAATAAGTGTGGTGGTCTTTGGATGAATAAAAGAATCACAGAAACATTTTAGGGATTCTGAGGACAAGGCTTATCCATATATCAACTAGACTTTTACTTCAGTTTAAAACAGGTAACTTTAGATTTCAACTTCTGAAAACCATAGAATGAATGTCTTACAATCCCTTCTTCTACAAGTGTTGTAGTTATTTAACATTACCACAGATACCAGGAAATAAGCGCTCTCTCTCTCTCTCTCTCTCTCTCTCGCTCGCACACACACACACACACACACACAATAATAGGTGTTCAATGTCATGGAATGGTTATCTCATATTGATGGTAAGCATAGAGACCCAATTTTAAAGATGACCTGATTATCTAAACCAGATGATAACTAAACTGGAAATTATCCTGAGAATCTACCAAGTTCTTTAGCCTAAACCTGAAATCTTTTTGAGACTAACTTCTAAAAAAATACAGAGAAGACTGAATTATAAAAAGATTTGAGAATTGGGTGTAGGGAACATTTTAAAAAACCCATATTTAATTCAAGGTACCTATTTTTGCTGCCCAAACTGCATACAGCATTTTTTCAGTGAAAAGCTAATCTAAGAACAAAGAGGAAAAATCAAAAACAATGCATGCTCATGTATACCATTAAAAAAATGACAAATGTTTATTTTGCCATTAATAACCATGCATGACTTAATTACATTATAATTACAATTATTTTATTGCAGACATGCATTTCATTTTTTAAAAAAGTTAAATATTGGGTTTTATCAATATGGTAGTTTAGATACAAACATCTCTGGAAATCAAAATATCTTTAAGCAATACATCAGAATGATTACTCCACAAAATGAATTTAATAGAAATGAGTTGAAAAGAAGCACTTTAAGTGATGGGGTAAGAGTCAGAATTAGGATCCTAATAAACTTTTTTTCACAGGCAACTATCTTATACATTAAATACCTACAATTTAAATTGGCTTTTTCTTATAAAGGTCACTATGTAATAATGCCCCCACCTCAGCAATTTAGTCTTCAGAAGCATTGGAATTTCAACTCTCTGGTAAGTTCCAATTCAACTGGAGTTCATCAGACTGAGTATCACTAATCTTTATGATCAAGATAACAGCCTACACAATCTGTAATCACTGTCTGATGTTCCTTTCCCTTTTTCCCTCTTATATATAGCTTTCACTCACTGTACCACACACTGGAAAATAGCTAATCTTGTTAGTTTCAAAAGTAAAAACTACCTCTGTGGGTGTTATTAACATTTGATACTTATATTAAAAAGATGGTTCAAAGTTCACTATACAAAGAAAATAGCTGTACAATCACTTTCTAACTCAATCCCATCTCAGAAGATTACACAGTACATGTTTTAAAAGGAGTCAGGGTTGAATTTTGAAATAATTATTGTCAAATTAATGCTCATTATTAAATTGGCTCTTATGACTTCCAGATATATTTGGTAAATTATAATTTATGAAATATACCTGTATAAGATTTGGCCACTGATGGAAATATTTGATTTCAAGCTATCACTGGAAGCAATTATGGGTTTTTACCTGTGGTAATCCACACTCCATAAAAAGTGTTTTCTCACTCAACCTATCACCAAAATGCTACTGGAGTTTTAAATTATGACCCTGTTACCATACTAGATCATAACTCACACATATTGCCTCAAAGTTACGACACTAACAGGAACTTGCAGTCTCTAGCGTTTAATGCCCTAGGGAGAAATGTCAGTGGGAAACTTACAAAACACTCCTGCAGACTTGGGATATGACACCAAGGCATCATATGTATTTCACAATATATAATCTCTGTTATGGAATGATTGCACTTGAAACCCTATTTACACTCCTTGTTGTGATTAGGGAGGCTAAGAGAAAAAAAGCATGATTTATTTAAAAGAAATTATCAGCCCTTTTGGTTTACTAAGTACTAAGTGTAACTCCCTGCCCATCATCTTGTCTTTATTCTTAAGGTCCCATCTTGGCTACACGTGGTTTACGTTTTCCTATCAGAATACCCACAGCAGGCAATTTACCTAGGAAAAGCTAAAGCTTAAGGGGATCTAGAGTACAACAAAGCCCTATGAAACTACTTCAGCAAACCCAGAAGGCGCCTATTAATGCCCATTCCTGCCCACTGGGTTTTATCAGATACTCAAATATAATTCCAGTTACTATCAACTTCTCCTTCCTCAAGATGTATTACTCAGAGCTGATGCAAAGCAAACTTCACACCCATGCCTAAAGGGGCCAGGAAGCGTTTATCTCTCTCTTTTAAAAAAAGCCTAAAGACTTTCAAGTCAATATACATTTTAAAAGAATCTGCACATCACAAAAAATCTTTGCAACCCTTCTCGGCATTCAAACCTACTGGATTCCTTTTACCTGGGCAGAATTTGCTTCGTCTAGGGTCCAACTCCTCAGACTGTCATATCCATTAACTATGAGTTAATAAGTTGTTGCGCGTGTGCTCACACGGGCATGTCTTTCGTACGGATGTCTCTCCTTCCCTTCACCACTCCACTCAAACTACCCCCGGACAGTAAGTCTCATCTTTCCACAGAGTTCGCGTCGGGTAACCCCATCCGGAAAGACTTCAATTACTTTCTCCCGACCATTCACACAATCTCTGAGCCGGGAGAGGAACTCTGAGGAGGAAACCCCGCGCCTCCGACTCTGATAGAGAAGAAGACCTGTCCTTGCCTGGCACGGCCCCCCTAGAGGTCCCCAACAAAGTTTCTTCTCTCTTTTTGCGGCGCCAGCTCCCCTATTCCGAGACACCCCCCACACAATCCCGGTCCCGATGCACCTCCCGCCCCAGTCCCGCTGGACCCAGAGACACGTGCCTCCACGGACCGAGTCCCCCGAGTTCGCCTCCTAGACTTGCAGCGAGTGGCAGCCGCTCCTGAGGCGGGCGGGCACTCTCCCCTGCCCCGACGCGCCGCGAGAGGCTCCCGCTTGCCTCGTTCGCTCCCGCACTGACCTGACGCTGTCAACGCGGCCGGAGCAAAGCCTTCGCTTCTAGTGGCATGGGTTCCCCCGCCCGTCCCGTCCTAGGGGCAGGCCCCGCCTCTCGGTCCCGCGGCTACCCCGCCCTCCAGGCCAACCTCCGTGCCCCACCCACCCGGGAGCGCCCCGAGCGGCAACGCCGGAGCCGTTTTCCGCCTGTCCGCTGAGCCCCAGGCGAGGCCCCAGCCGGGCTTTGGGAACGGGGGCATCGGGTCTCCGGCTCTTTGGATTGCGCCGGGCGATTAATAACTGAGGGGTGGGTGTCTTTTGCTAGAAAGTGGGTTCCACGTGCTGGTGAGGAAGCCAGGAGAAAATGCGCGCAATTTGAATACAGCCCTGTCAAAGGATAGGGAGCTGCGGGGTCGCGCTACGGCTGGTCTTAGGTTTTTTTTGGGTGTGTGTGTGTGTGTTCAAAATGCAGCCTTTAGGGAACCAGCCCGACACTCCCATTCACACGTTTTCTCCACGGACTAGTTTTCCCATGGACAAACTTGGTCGGAGTTTCGTTTTAGGGTTGTCCTGGTTAATCTACACCCCCCCCCCCACACACACACCCAAACCCCGACTTTGGACGATTGCTTTCTTCTGGATAGGAAATGGAAAAAGGAAATAGGAAATGCAATATGGACTTTCCTTCCTCTGTATTTTTACACAGGAAGGAAACTTCCTACTTTTATTTCCTTGGCCTTTTGTTGCTTCTCCCCCCCCCCCCCCTCCCTTAGGGTTTGAATATAAAGATGAGAGATTTGGGATACTTGGAACCATCAGCTGTTTGGAATTTTGTTGCTAGTGGTGTTTTCCTTTTGGTTTTGCAACTTTTATAAGCAGTTTGAAGAATTTCAAAAGGACTCTGGCAGATTTGGCTGTCCAGGCCTCTGCTGCCCTGTTATGAATTTCTAATAGCCCAAATGTGGTACCCTCTTCATGGTTTTTAAGGTTCTTCCAATATTGGTAGGTAAGACGGACCCTGATGGACTCCCAGAAGGTACGGGTAGTCCTCGACTTAACAACAGTTCATTTAGTGACATTTTGAAGTTACAACGGCACTGAAAAACTGGT